GGAGGATTGCATTAATTCTTGAGGTTAGGATTTTTGTACAAGGATGATGGGGTATTGATATCACAAAGGAAATATGGATCTATTGACAGAGTTTGATTGCACCAACTATTCTTCTTTAGCCTCTCCACTTGACCTTACTATTAAGCTAAGTGCAAATGAGGGACCCCTACTGTCAGATCCTTCTCACTGTAGAAGACTAGTAGGAAAGCTGAATTTTCTAACCAACACAAGGCTTGACATATCTTACAGTATGCAACATTTGAGTCAATACATGTAAAGTCCAAGGGAGCTACACTTGAAAGCTGACTACCATAAGGTACCTTAAAGGTGATCCAAGTTTAGGGATTTTCCTATCCAGTAGCAAGGACTATGGGGTTAGAGCTTTTTGTGACTCAGACTGGGCAGCCTGCCCTGAGTCAAGGAAATCAGTTAGGGGTTATGTTGTGTTACTGGGTGACAGCCCTATCAGCTGAAAATCTAAGAAGCAACACACTATTTCACTATCCTCAGCAGAAGCAGAATACAGATCAGCCAGACAAGTTGTAGGTGAATTAGTGTGGTTGGTTAGATTGCTTGAAGAATTGACATTCCCCTTAACCTTGCATGTCCCAGCATTTTGTGATAGCCAAACAGCTCTCCATATAGCTAAGAATCCTGTGTTTCATGAACACACAAAACCCATAGAGGTAGACTGCCATTTTGTGAGTATCAACTACACGAAAGCCTCATCTCATTACATCATGTTTCTACACACGAGCAGCTGGCAGATATATTCACCAAGCCATTTACAGGGATCAAACATTGCAATTTACTTAGCAAGTTGGTTGTGAGTCCCTCCCTTCCAACTTGAGGGGGGTATTGAGAATATATACACATGTGTATTTACTTTTGTACAAGTAGTTGTAATGTAGTTGGTACAGCTGTACACAACTGTACACAATTATAAATAGGCGTAAATATTTTGTGTACAAAGTGAACTTCCTTTTTGTATCTTTATTGAAGCTCAGTTCATTTCTAATGAAAGAACAAGGTTCCGGAAGTCTCTACTTAGGGCTCATTCATTCGCCATTAGAGTTGGTCCAAGGTGAGCACTTCTTCTTCATTTTTGCTGCTATTTTGACATTATTCCCCAGTTTAGACTACTAAACACATTTAGCATTATTTTCTGAATCTCTCAGCTCAAGTAACCTGAGCTCCTATTTCTTTATTCCTTATTGAAGCACACAGATCCAGGCATTGCACACATATGCTTTATGTATTTTATACTTTGCGGATTTTAAGGGATGTGTACAACTTACCAAGGTATGAGTAAATTGACCTGAACAACATTGTCATAGAAAAAATATCCACGGTTTATTTTTTTCAACTTAAGCTAACGCGAGTATATTGGCGGCATCTGTCGGTAAAAGAAATTCATTACTAATATTTAAGAATATAAGTCAATGCATCTACTTAAACTATTTATTACCCGCTGTTTTATTTTATAAAGACTAAAAAGAAGAATGACTCATTTTTATGATATAATTTTATTTTATTTTATTTTACTTGTAATAATATGTTTTATAGCCACATAAATTTCATGGCAATTTAAGAATATAAGTTTTAATTTTTTTTCTTTTTCCCTTAAAAATTCTTTGACCAATAAGACATATCATGTAAGATGAACTGGAGAAAGTATAAATTATGGTCAAACTCAATTGAATGACAAAGTATATCCTTAATCATATACCTGCAAGACATAAAAGGGAAACAATTATACACTTGAAAGCAAAGTTCATCCTAATCTCAATCTATGGAGTTCGAATTGTGACAAGATAATTTCAAAATTTTGAGGGTCACAAGATATCTCCAGTCTCTCACTTCTTCAAATAAAAATTCTCTCCCCTACATTTACAACATTGCCTCTCACGGTTTTGCTGCAAGTATTTATCCCCATGAAGTTGATTTACTCCGCCAATCTGATTCTGTCGTTAATGTCTATGAAGACAGTTTTTACCCCTGAATTTCTTGGCCTCGATAATCTCAATTCATGGGCTGGACGTACTTTACCAGAATTGAACAATGCTGCTCAAGACGTTATTATTGGAGTTCTTGATAGTGGAATTTGGCCTGAGTCTAAAAGTTTTAGTGATGTGGCGGGGGGAATGCCAATCGGCACCTGATTTCCACCCGAATGTTCATTGTAATAGGAAACTTATTGGTGCTCAGTATTTTGTTAAAGGCTGTAAGGTTTCTAGCAGCTGCTCTAAGGAGATTGAATCACCCCGGGACCATAACGGTCATGGTACACATACTGCAAGCACAGCTGCAGGTAGTGGCGAATTCAAGATTTAAACTTGATGCGTTTAATCAATTACGTGTTATTTATTGAAAATTTAGTAATTATTTACCTATATATATATATATATATATATATATATATATATATATATATATATATATTTCGTGTCAAAAGGCTGGATTCAGTTGGACTCATATTGCATGCAGGATCCATTGTTGCAAATGCTAGTCTCTTTGGCTATGCTAAAGGGACTGCACGAGGGATGGCACCACAAGCCCGTATAGCCAACTACAAAGTGTGCTGGAATGAAACTTGTGCAGGGTCAGATATTCTTGCTGCCTTTGACCGTGCTATTATGGATGGTGTTTCGTATTGATGTATTGTCCGTGTCATTGTCTAATAATGCAACAACATATTACAACGATGCCATTGCTCTAGGTGCTTTCGCTTCTATTGAGAAAGGAATTATTGTGTCGTGTTCAGTCGGGAATGATGGTCCTCGGATAGCAACAGTTGTAAACACGGCTCCATGGATCATTACTGTCGGTGCTGCAACTCTTGACCGAGACTTTCTGCTTTTATTACTCTGGGAAATGGCAAAAAAAATTTCAAGGTGTATCGTTGTATAGTGGAAAAGAAATGGAAAATAAATCACTGAGCTTAGCTTACCCCAAAGGAAACAACTCGTCTAGCAATCTGTGCTTGCGTGGTTCGCTTGATCCAAATGTGGTTCGCGGAAAAGTAGTGTTATGTGACAAGGGAGCTAATGATAGAGTTGAGAAGGGACTAGTAGTAGTGAAGGAAGCCAATGGAATAGGTATGATATTAGCCAATACACCCGAGACAGGGGAGGAGTTACTCGCGGATAGCCAATTATTGCCTGCAGTGGCTGTTGGGAGGAAGGTGGGGGATGTAATAAGAGAATATGTGAAAACAGAAAGCAATCCAACAGTTGATTTTACTTTTGTTGGGACAGTGGTGAAAGTTAAACCATCCCCGGTTGTCGCTGGATTTAGCTCAAGAGGGCCAAATGCAATTGCTCCTCAGATATTAAAGCCTGATGTCATTGGTCCTGGAGTGAATATCTTGGCAGCTTGGCCTGAAAATGTAGGGCCAACTTCACTTGAATCATTTCTGGCACTTCTATGGCTTGTCCTCATGTTACAGGAGTAGCTGCATTGATTAAAGCTGTACATTCAGAATGGAGTCCAAGTGCGATAGAATCAGCAATCATGACAACCGCGTACAATCAAGATAACACCAACTCCTCGTTTCGTGATTCTGCAGAGGACGGTATATTTTCCAATCCATTGGCTCATGGTTCAGGCCATGTAAATCCTCAGAAAGCACTCTCCCCGGGACTCATATATGATAATCAGTATTCAGGATCATATCAAGTTCTTGTGCTCCTTAGACTACCCTATGGATCAAATACAAGCTATTGTCAAAAGAGTAAACTTCACTTGTACAAACAAGTTTGCAGATGCTGGGCAGATCAATTGCCCTTTGTTTTCTGTCTCGTTTGGAGTTAATTCAACGCGAGTTGTTCGCTGCAGGGTCAGTGTATGAAGTAGCCATTGATGCTCCAAAACTTGTATTCAACAAAGTAGGAGATAAACTCCATTACACAGTCACATTTGTATCCAAGAAAGGTGTTAAAACAGGAAATGCATTTGGTTGGATTTCATGGAAAAATGCTGAAAATCAAGTGAAGAGTCCAGTTGCATATTCCTTTTTTTTTTTTTTTGGTTTCCCACCCGGTGTCCGGTACCCGCATTGGAACCGGACTATATCCGGATTCGCACCGCATAAGGCTCCATTAGGGGGAAAGCGTTCTCTACTAAGGTTTTTTCCATACGCAGGACTCGAACTCGAGACTTGTGGTTAAGGGAGGAGCAGTCCCATCCACTGCACCACATCCTTTGGTAGTTGCATATTCCTGGATGACACACATCAATTAGATTGGAAACGTAACTTTATTTTTGTATTAGAATTTATATTTATTATTTGAAGTAAAGATAAATTATCGGCATTCAGTTGAGAAAATAAATACACTAGTTTTTTTGTTGTTTTTTTATCGTCTTCTTTTTATATCTGGAGTGAAACTTTGGAGACAACTTATTATGAGATATGTATTGTAATTTAACATCTTGAAAAAAAATAAAGAGAGGATCTGATCCTTTAACTATTTTAACTGCATGTTTTCAATCTTCATGGATTTCTCCTCTTGGATAATAAGAGCTTAATCGAAAACTAGTAAAATCAGTAGGCCAGATTAACATCGAACCAAAGAAAAAAAAACTGGGAATTACTTTTCCTTTATAACCGTGGTGTCCGGAGTAGCTTGTAACCACCTAGACTAATTCCACATGTATCTCCCATCAGCACAGGTACGGAATAACTCTGTCCACTAAGGCTTGAACAAATGGGAGAAAATCACCTAGTATTTTTGCCTGGTAAGCATGTTCACCATGAGGTGACTGGTTCTCATTTATAAGATGGTAGAAGTAGAAATGTATAAATATAATAATGTAGAAATTTGTCAAAAAGTTATCCCTTTCGATTTTACTCCATCTCTGTCATGTCAAGACCAGGTAATCCCTTCCCCTTTTACGCCATCTCTGTCATATGAAGATGGAAATTATGTCAAGAACAGGTTATTAAGTCATATGAAGAAGGAAAGTATGTTGTTACATGCTGAAATTTATGACAGAGAAAATAAGACGAGGAAATTTCTGTTGGCAATAGATTGTGCAAGAATATTAAACACAATTTACAACCAACAAATCTGTCCGTATGGAGTGGACAAACCTCCCAGATACTACTTCAATGCCCTTAAAACTAATCCCGACTAGATATTTATAGAATACATATTGTTTAAAATAACTAGAAAAATGCACGGCCTAATCACATAGTAGGTTGAAATATTTGGTTACTGCTGGAGAGAATTAATGAGGCAGTTTCTTCATGCTGGAGAGAAGTTGGACTAGGTCAAAGCTGCACAAATCTTACTTCCTCTTTCACGTCTTCTTCTATAATAATTCTTCAAAGGTGGGATTGTATATGTCGGGACACCTTTGCATGAGGTTCCGTTGGCAGGCCAGTATTTACTCAATATTTCATAAGCCTGGAGTTTCATGGTCAAAGAACAATACATGCCGTTAAGATTTTTCAATCCCCCAGCCTCTTCGATCCGCTTAGCATAAATATTAGTGCCGTCAGGTCCCTTGTGCTTTTCCCCATACTCCAATATGTTTTCTACTCCTTTAAGACTAATGGTGCAAATTATTTTATTACCAAAGACGCCAAGATAATCACACAGAGGACCTATGCAGCAATCCACCAATTCACTAAAGCCAAAAGCACGAAAAGAACATCAGAGTTGGTGAAAATATCAGTATACCAGAGAGATGAACCGAGAAAAAGAGGTCACAGACTTGATGTACGAATCATCACTGATACCGATAATAGCATTTGAAATTGCAGCAACAGCAACGTCCATTTGTCTAGCCTTAGCCAGTTGGCATAGAGGGTCCATTAATCCAGCAACATCAGCTACAGCCTGCTCAAAAATTACAGACAACTATTTAGATAAATGGCTACGTAGAGAAGGTTTCATGAATAATTATAAGCATGAATAACAAATATATGGACAAAGAAATTGAAAAAAATTTACGATAAAGCGAAATATCAATTCAGCCGACATACCTTTGCCCGTTGACTGCTCCCAAGAGTAATATATGCTATACACAGGCATACCAACCTTTCTTCTTCTCCTCTATCTAGCAAGTCCGGCAGGCAATGAAGGACGTCACGGCCATAAATGCTACGGGCTTTCATCAGTTCCTTACATTCAGATCTTCACTTGGTTAGTAGGGAAAAAAGCATGTTTTTCACAGTCTAATTTGCAAGGAAGAAGAATGCCCATTGACATCAAATGCTCTCTATGTGAAGAGCAACCCGAGGACACAAACAACCTATTTCTACATTGCAAAATCACTGCTCAATTGTGGGATATGTTTTTCATCATTTTGGGCTTAAAATGGACAATGCATAGAGATATTTAGTTTGGAAGTTCACAAGCACATCTTTGAGTGCTGAAGATGCTTTTCAACCTAAATCCAGACAACTCCAAGTTTTTCTCTTTCTTTTTTTTTTTTCTTTTTATCAAGGACATGTTTCTTATTACCAACTTACATGCATAGATATTTTGTCCCAAGATCAAATCAAGATCTAAAAAGGCTAAGTTAGTGAATACCAATTAGAAAAAAAATAAAACTTAATGTAGCCAAAAAATGCAGCCTAGATGGCCAAAAAAAAACTTAATGTAGCCAAAAAATGCAGCCTAGATGGCCAGTGCTGGAGCTGGAAGGTGGACTTGACCATGACTTGAAGATGGCAAAGAACCTATTTACAAATCAAATGGCGGGTAGCTTTACCAAATGGGTGGGTTCTTCAGAGGCTATTATAAATTAAGCAGTAAACACATCAAATTTGACATTGAATCAGGAACATGCTGAATTATAATCTCACTACATGTTGTTTAACATGTTTCTACCTTTCAATCATTTTATCTTATCTTAATTTTTTCCTTTTTTTCATTGATTAGTTCATCAAAGTGTTTGGGTCCAACCACAAAAGCTCCTAAAGACCCGCATACCTCTTTCTGGCCGTCATCTCCTCGGCAAATACTTGAAAGGATATGGATGGCAGGGGAGATTACAGAAGGAGAGGGATCTCTGAAAGATCGAATGACGTATATATCAGATACAGTCGTAGAAAGCTAGCTATGAAAAAGTAGGTTAAATGAGGAAAATAAAAACACTCCACTCACTCTAAGGGCTTAAGCAGCACCGGAATCTCAAAGAGGCCACTAATAATATCACTCTGGCTCACAACAGAATGACTGATGCTACTTTGCTATTGCATTATGCCTCTAAGTCCTCATCGATACCACCAGAGAGGTAATAAAGTGCCCAGCATGCGTTTCTTAGCACCTCTCGATCATCATTTGAAGCAACAAGGAAACAAAGAGCTTGGATTGCTGGTTTCACCTGACAATTGAATTGTAATCAGTATTATTTTGCACCAAATAATTGCAGACGGAGAAAAATTTCAACAGTAATTAACAGACCTTCACAGAAGGCACTTTTGGTGTGCCTCTAGAAAGCACTGATATAGTCTGCGTGGCTTTTCTCAGCAATAAAATGTTGCAATAGGTCAAAATATGCAGTAAATTATCCAAAGTCATACACGTAAGAACAAAACCACGACCTACAGGGGAGAGAGCAACAATTCCCAGTTTCTCCATCGCCTATAGTTGGAAGGAAAAAACAATCAGTCTGCTAATAAGCATATCTTCAGCCTATATAGAAGAGGGGTATGCCAATTTTAAAACATACCTGCTCACAAACATTTTCAGCTGGAAAATGCAGAAGCTTTAAAAGAAGTTCCACCAACTTACTATCAATCACCAAATCATCTAACTCCATCATATCAGGAATACTGTCGATGACAGCGTTAGCAGCTTCAAGCTATGACCGCAAAACCATAAGAATAAAGCAAGTGTGAATCTACAACCAGAAGACACTAAAGAAGGCACAAAAAGGTGATCAACACATCACTCTCTACCTTGAGAGCAAATGAACCCTCTCCCCGTAGAATTTCGTCAAGTAGAGGAACAACTATACCAGACTCTAGAGCATGTACTAGAAAAGTGACATCTATTAATAAAAATTTGAAAGTAAGTGATATGCGAGTTTAATAAAATCAGCATAAGCGAAGCTGGAGCAGTCTTAGCCATACCGTCATTGAACAATATTCGGAGTTTTTGGATTGCCCGCATCTTCTTCTCCTCCTCCTGAGACTCAAGACCTTCAACTATTGATGAAAGATTTTGCTGGAAACCAACAAAGTCAGCAAGAAGACCCTCCGCGTCACCACTTGTTAGCATAGACATCTTGGTAAAAATCCTTTAAAAAGTGAAAACTGCAAGAAAGATAATAGGTAGTATTACGGAAAGAATACCCTTGAAGGGAAGGGAAGTGAGGAAGATAATTGAATGGATATAACTAACGGAAAACAAGAAGAAGCAAAGAGTTAACAGTACTACCGGAAAACACCTAAACGGAGCAAACAGCTACAAACACAACACTAAAACCAATGCAGGGATGTGCTGATTAAGATGTGAAAAACAACAACTACAAACACAACAATAACACCCAAAAGGACTTGCAACGATGAATTATACTATTAAAATTCATAGGTCAAATCGACGTTTGACGAAACTCAGGACACTGTTAAGGCATGGGTCCTTCGACTCTACTCTAAGGGCTAAGAACCCCTTCGACTGAAGGCTTTGACGATGGATTTTTGGGTTTTGGTCGAAATAGGTTGATAGCGAAATTTAGACAAATTAGCAGAGAAAGAAGAAGAAGAAAAATGGTGGCTATTCAGAGCAGAGAAGAAGAACATCATACCTGGAACTTAGCGTTAAGAAGAAAGAAGATCTTCTTCAAAACCCGTTAAGTCGTCTGAAACTCGACGCAAGATCGTAATGGAGCCCGGAGTATCTCGGCTTAGCAACTATCGTAAATTATAAATATGGTCTCGATTAATATATTCTATTCATTTGTATTTATTTTTCCCGATATTTATTTCAAATATCACTAAATAAATGTCGTTGTATCTTTACTTTCTTGTAGAGATTCGGAAGAAAAGCTAACAAAGCCTTGCTCTTTGTTGTTTTCTTCCAAATCTCTGTAGTAAGTTTCTTTTTTTTGAGTCATTTAAGAGAAGCACTCTTTACTTGATGTTGAACCTGATTTGTTGTTTTCAATTACTTGGTTATGTTATTTTCTTGTGGTGAAAGAATTTCTTCTTGTTGGTGCTTTGCAGCTTATACGTTCTTATGTGTTGAATGCGGCTTTTGATAAAAAAATTAAACTGAATTTGAAACGTGCAGATGCTGAATAGAGTCAAGTAATTCTTATATTCTACTACAATATCCATTATATACTGTATACGGTGAAATCGGAGGGTCCTATTTCTCGTCATCGAGGCACCTTAGAAGATCGTCCAATTTCTCGTCATCGAGGCACCTCAGATGATCATCTCGAAGCCTCGAGGCTACAAGTCCACGGTCGGATTTCCTCTCTCGAGGTTCGTTGACGCCCGACCTGGGGACAATGTTGATCACGGCTATGGTAAAAATGGGGAGTTCCCAAGGCACATGGCTAAGACTGACAGAGCCTGGACTACTCTAAACCCGAATCAGGGTATCATATCTAGTTGTCCCATCTCCGTTTCTTTGTAATTAATGCACTTTGTACTATGTGAGGATTCTCCTCCTATATAAAGGGGATCCCTGTCATTTTGTGAACTCTTGTTACTTCAATTACTCCAAACGGAATATACAAGAACATTCTCTCTGCTCTCTAATATACTCTCTTGATACTGTTGCTTCTATTTATTACTTTCGTTGTTGTTCTTCATTTATTACTTATCATTGGCCATAAAGAGCCTTTGTTAATTATCTGATAACTGTTAGCCCTACCCCGATCACCCTCGACAGCTCGTAGCCGAGCTCTGGAATCGACCTCGAGGCCCCGAATCGACAACTTGAGGCCCCGATTGTCAGCCTATCGGTTTGATTATCACTCTCTTTTTAACTCCTATTTCGTTTCTAGATCTTACATACATAGCATCAACTGCTTAACAACTAGCATAAAAATAGATCACGTATTTTTAGAGTCCCATCAACAAATTAAATTGTTATTACCATTTTCACAGTAAACAGTTTGGCGCCCACCGTAAGGCTAAAAATAATAGTGATTATTTTCTTGCTGGTTTCATTACACAATGCAAGTTATCTTTCACACCTTTTCTTGTCCAAGATCTTCAATTTCAGGTCGAAATGTCTAGCTTGGTAAATAGAGTTGAAAATGACAATCTTGAAAACCACGGAGAGAACGGTGTGGCTGCTCCAGATGTTAGTGTGCCACCACGAAACCTCGAGAACGCGCCAGGACCAATTCCAGTGGACGTAGGTTCACGCGACGCCCGGCAGGTCGATATAAGCTCACATACCAACAGGAGGGTGCACCAAGGAGACCCACAAGAAGCTCAGAAAACCCCAACCAGGGAAGAACGGGAGGTTAGCCTTCATGTTATTTTTGAAATGTTGCAGGCACAACAGCTGGCTATTGCTCAGCTGCAAAGCCACCAGAAAACTCCTAGCACAGTAGCATAGGGGACAGCTCCCCCGGCCGAACAGGTACCGGAGAGATCGAGCAATAACGGGTTGATAGCCAATCCTGCTATCGTAAAAATGCTCGAGGACCTCACCGGAAGGATCTAATCGGGCAAAAACATGATAGAATCCAACGATAAGAAGGTCGAGACTAATAACTCCAGGGTCGACCAAATTCCAGGAGCGCCTCCAATCTTGAAAGGTGTGGACTCGAAGAAGTTCGTGCAGAAGCCGTTCCCACAGGAAGCGGCCCCGAAATGCATTCCGAAGAAGTTCAGAATGCCAGACCTTCAGAAATACAACGGTACCTCGGACCCAAACGAGCACGTTACCGCCTATACCTGTGCAGTAAAGGGCAACGACCTGAAGGACGATGAGATCGAGTCCGTCCTGCTGAAGAAGTTCGGAGAAACATTTTCCAAGGGACAAATGATGTGGAATCATAACTTGGCCCCAAACTCTATAGACTCGTTTGCCATGCTGGCAGATTCCTTCATAAAGGCACATGCCGGGGCCATCAAAGTGGCCACGAGGAAATCCGACGTCTTCAAAATCAAGCAAAGGGAGAACAAGATGCTGCGAGAATTTGTATCTGCTTTCAAATGGAACGAATGGAACTACCACCGGTCTCTGACGACTAGGCAGTGCAGGCCTTCACTCAAGGCCTGAATGAGCGAAGCTCGGTGGCTTCGAGGCATCTGAAAGAGAAACTGGTCGAGTATCCCGCCGTGACCTGGTCGGACGTCCACAATCGATACCAGTCAAAAATCAGGGTCGAAGATGACCAGCTGGGAGCCCCCTCAGGCTCAGTATACCCAAGCATGCTCTTAGCGAAGGAGTGAAAGCCAAACAAAGAAAGGTATCTGCCATACACCAAAGACAGGAGGAACGCCCCGGGGCGCAACCCACCTCGCAATGATCGAGGGATAGACCGAGGACAGAATCCTAGGGGACTGATCAACAAAGCCGGGTTCGATAGAAATGCGGGGCCAACTGAGGCACCTCGCTTATCAGAATACACCTTCAACGTTGATATGTCAGACATCGTGTTCGCCATCAGCAAAATCAGAGACGCCAGGTGGCCCAGGCCTATACAGTCGGATCCTTCCCAAAGGAATCATAACTTAGTATGTGAATTTCATAACACGCACGGCCATAGGACCGAGGATTGCCACCAGCTCCGAGAGGAAGTAGCCAGACTATTCAATAAAGGTCACCTTAGAGAATTCTTAAGAGACCGGGCCAAAAATCAGTTCCGGGAAAGAGAGGCGGCCAAGAAGAACGAAACGAACAAGCCACAACATGTTATCCATATGATCTTGGGAGGCGTCGATGCTCCCCAGGAACCCGTGATGAGAAGGACAAAAATATCCATCACTAGAGAAAAGCGAACCCGGGGATACATACCCGAAGATGACCTCACATTCAGCGAAGAGGACACCGAGACCTTGTCTCAACCTCATAATGACGCATTGGTAATCTCTTTCCTCATGAATACATTTCAAATAAAACGTGTACTCGTGGACCCAGGTAGCTCAGCCAACATTATCAGGCCGAGGGTAATAGAGCAGCTCGGACTGCTTGACCACATCGTGCTCTCCACTCGAGTCCTCAACGGATTCAACATGGCAAGTGAAACAACGAAAGGAGAAATCACCCTCCCAGTCAGCGTGGCCGGCACAACCCAAAATGTCAAATTTCATGTCATCGAAGGGACATGAGGTATAACGCCTTGTTCGGATGGTCGTGGATACACTGCATGAGAGCAGTACCATCCACCCTCCACCAAATGATGAAATTGCCGACAAAGGATGGGATCAAAATCGTCTATGGGAAACAGCATGCGGCATGGGAAATGTTCGCGGTGCACGATGTGGCACCGGCACCAATACCTCCACTCATAAAAGAGCAAAAGGGTAATCAAACTACATCTTTAGTTAAGCCCGATTAAACATAGCAGAGGACCGTACCGCATCCTCATTACAAGCGACAATGATATATCAGACCTCAAAAATATCGCCGGCACATCCCGCGCAAAGGTATAACCATCTCCCTTTTCATTTTATATTTCATACTAACCCTTATGCAGGCGCCCGATTGAAGTAGTCAAAGCGCTAACCCAGCCCGAAGACCTTAAGGTTTTAAAGCATCCGTTGCACTCTTTTCCTTCGACCGAGTTTTTATCCCGACAAGGGTTTTACCGGCAAGGTTTTTAACAAGGCAACATCCACATGCTACCTAAGGAAGACTCGACAAGTATTCCAGGCTTCTTTTGCAATCAACCTCAAACACTGGAGGGTATCCCCCCGGAAGGCCATCCACTCGGAAGAACCAAGAAACGCCAATAGGGTCCCAATAGGAAAACGATGTACCGGGCCAAACGGTCGAATGAATCGTGTCCATATAGTCGGGCCCCCGACAGCGAAAAAATGTATACTTGTGCCAAGTAATCGAAGAATACCTTTTATCAAAACATTTCACGCTCCAAGAGCAACTAAGAATTTTTGCAATAACAACTCCTCCGTTGAAAGCATCCCGAACACTCGGGGACTAGCATCAAAATCTCAAAAATCGCATGAACTCAGGGTCGGAATCTCCGAAATTGTAAGCCCTCAATGAGGCAATACCGAGCTCACGAGTAACGGCTCCCGAGCCAGAACACCCTCGATGACTAGGGGACTGTCACCAATCACTATTCATTAAAAACCCCGAGGCCATAAGACCCCGAGCGGGCAGATTCGGTCTTGTAAGACCTACATAAGGCAGCAACAGTATCTGTAAGACCTCAAGCAAGGCATGAACCATACTTGTACCAAGTGTCTAAAAACTGTAAGACCTCAAAGGCATGAAATTTTTGTAAGACCTTACTAAAGGCATAATCCCAATCTCAAAGTTAAGGCTATATATCGAACTTGTATGACCCCTAAAAAGGCATACCCTCGATTTAGACACCTAAACTACATCATTTGGGATCAAAAATGGCTCTGGCCAAGCACAAATAATTACGGTCATAAGGCTTTACCAGCCAAACTAACGCGACTCGGGGACGCCCGACCATCGCTACAAAATCACAGGCCTTCAAATACTTCGAATCTACTTCGAAAAGAACCGGTTAAACAGGCTACCCTCGACATAGGCAAAAGAGCTTCGACCACGTCAGCTCCAAATCACAGGCTTCGGATACTCAGCCTCCGAGCCAAACCTCCCGAGGTGCTCTAACATCGCCACAAAACGACTCGTAATCGAGGTTCTTCCCGAACTGTCGAAGAGTCAGGCAAAAATTACTTCAAAAAGTCCTTAACGAGGGAAAAATAAAGCCAATAAAAGGTCGCTTCGACCCAAGGCGTAAGAGCCATTGTCGCCAGCCCGCATAAAAGGCCACATCGGCCCAAAGCGTATAAGCCATTGTCGCCAGCCCACACAAATCTG